TGTACAAATGAGCGTTCTTGCTCATTTTGCCTCCGAGATATGAGCAAAAACGGGACGGAAAACATGAAATTTTGGCATAATCTTGAACTTAAGTGTTTGATATTCAAATTTCGCTTCCTGGGTCAAAACTACTCGAATTTCCTCACTCGCGTTGTTACGACTGAATCGACTTTTCAATTCTCTTTCAAACGATGCCAAAACGAATGGTTCTTGAGAAACTTCGAATAAAGGCCATTTAGTTATGTCTGGAATGATGTAAAAACGAGCATTCCTGTTCATTTTGCTTCCGAGAAACATAAACATAAACAACAGAAGACTGTATTTTTTTCCCCTGACTTTAAAGATGGATCTGCCCCTGCAGTGGTGGAAACGTGCAGTTTTAGAATGTGTTTACGTTGAATGAATCCAATTCGGCCCTGTGTGATGTAAATTAAATGAGTGTAAATCGAGTGGAAATTGCCGAAGCTAGGGGCTGAAGAACATCAGATAGGCGGCGGCAACAGTAACAACATATTAGTGACATGCCGTGGGGCCCTTGAGGACAAACAAAATAAACACAAGCCATCGCACCCATTTTGAAAATCGCAACCAGGTGACGACCGTACGATAAGAAGCCAACCGAACACGGTGCACGCTCATTCCCAACCATCCAACCAACCAGCCAACCAGGGCCCTGACAATAAGGGCAGCACATAAATAGTGCATTAGACCCTTTATCATGATAATAAGTAGAGCATTTTTTAGATTGTCTAGTACGGAGCCCGAGCTGTACAATGGGGATTTTTGGAGAGGTTGGCACAATGGCCACTTCAACCGCATGTAGCCGTAGGTAGCTAAACGAAAGCCCTACCAGCACTTGAACTCTTAGGCGCTGCCCTGTATAGAACAAATGTGCGGCTTTATTGTCATGTGCTCCCTGTGTAAACCGACGATTTTCAGCTCTTTGTTTAGCGGAAAAAATTCAAACGGCGTGCCAGAGTGTTCGTGTGGAAGAATTGTAATACTCTTCACATATACTTTTTTGGCGACTACGCACTAGTTGGTTTGGAACAATAAAACCTCTAGAAGAACTGATGACTGATTTTCATTTTTTGATGAAGAGGATTTTCTGTTTTCTACTTTATACTGGTCATTAATTTTGATTTGGAATTCAAACACAGTCAGGAAAGTATATACCGTCATTAAATAGGTCAAGTTTAATTAAGTACGTAGGTACTTTATGTGCCTAAATTTTACATAAGTCCAATTGCGCTTTTCCTAAAATAATCATTTTTGGTGTCATTCATCCCTACTAACCCGTAGTGGGAAGTGTTTTAGCAAATTCACATTTGCTCCTAAGAAATCGTACAGGGTGTCCACATTAAACTGTGCCGACAGATTTTTAAGGCCGGTGTTTTTTGCCAAATGGTTGGTGGGTGGAGGAAAATGCCCTTGAATTTCACCCCTTAAAAGAGCCTTTTCTCTATTTCCCAAAACTCTATCGAATGATAATCGCCCTGTTTGGTTTTCTGGGTTTCTTCAAACGCTTAACTAACTGGGCTTAACCCCATGAGTCGCCTTAACGCTAGTAAGAGAGGCAGGCAATTTAGCACGTTTTTTGCTTCTTGACTTTTTTGGTTTAACGCGATCATTTGGAGAAAACTGGCAAAATATGAACGAATGCATACCGAGTAATTGAAAACCCTCCCTTTTTTACCAATCGTTTGAAGCCTCCAAACTTGCAATTGGTTTTCGAGTATTCTTATCAACACGTAGGTATGTGAAATTTTGATTTTTGGTCGAAATTTTTCCAATCATTTTCAGCTCACGGACGCGAGCAATGCGTCGAACTGATTAAAAAACATGCTAGAAGTTTCAAATGTATTGCACTCTTACCTTGGTCACCCTGTAGAATGCTCTTGTTTTCCAATACAGCGGGTCTCAATTTGAAAACTTTCCACTCTTAAAATCCTGCCAACGATTTAAGTCGCAAAAATCGTCAACATTTTCTTTACAATCGCTAATTTTCTAGTTTAAAGTCACATTTTCGGGTCCTTCAATCCTTCGACACGCAATTCCAACAAATAAGACACTTTTTCCAAAACGAACGTGTAAAAATAGGTTAATTTAAAACTTCAATTGCAGTAAATACTGCTTTACTGACAACTGATTTCAAAGTTGATGTGTTTGTATTTACTCGTTGCCATGGTACATGTCTTGTATTCAAAGATTCGACAAGCGATTGGTCGATCAGGTTTATGTGTTACCGGAAACACGTCACCGAGGACGGTTGCTAGGCAAGGAAGGTTGTTGATTTCTTCCAAAGTGGAGAAGTACTGATTTTGTGCAATTATTGATGAATGGGTGAGTGCAATTTTGATTTTTGGCCGAAATTTTTCCAAGGGTGAAATTAGAAAGTACATGTAATTGAGAACACTTTTTGTGGCAAAATGCGATCGATTTTTTACCAATCGCTTGGAGCCTAGCTTGGAACTTTTAATTGGTTTTCGAGCTTTTTCATCTGTTATAAAATTGTTTGGGACCAACATTAAATTCAACCGATCGGCGATTTATCAATGAAAACCAGGTGGTAGGGATGAAAGTACTAAAAAATAAGCATCGACCAAAGAGTTGAATTAATCGGAAAATCAACTCGCCTGGCTTCTAGCCATAGGCGTAGCAAAAATCTGTATTAATTGATTTATTCTAACCATG